AAAAAAAAAAAAAAACATCTGCATATGCAGTTAAACACACAATCACTCACAAAAAAAAAAACTTACAGCTGACAGAAGGTCTGTGTTTGAATCTACAAGCATGGCTGAGCAGTAAAAAGTGCTCTATAGTCCACTCTCTTGTCCAAGTAGTGTTAAGTCACATACACCACTAAAAAAATTTTGTGCAAAATATACTCACCAGCAGAGAAGTTGGGGATTTGGCAGGACATGTTCTAACCTGCCGAAATTTGTCACCCGAAAGGTAAGAGCAGCTGGTGATGGGTTATTGGCAAAGTGTCTGGTGATTCCAGCAGGAAAAGATAACACCATTTCTCCAGTAATCTTCACAATACATCTGGCTCATCAAACCACACAAAAAACAGGGAGAGGAAACCCAGTCAATGTGTTGTGAACAAAAATAATTTTGAAAAAAGTTTTATGTAATGGTAATACGGCAGAAGAGAAAGGCAAACTCTTACAGCTCTGCTCTCATGTAAATATTTTAAATATTTTAAAATATTTTTCAGAACTGACAACTCAATGATTTGTTTCAACACTTATCCAAAAAGTATCTATTTTGCTGAATGTGTTTTTGAACTGTCAGAAGAAAACTGCAGTTTTGCTCTTTCTGTAAAAAAAAAAAAGTATGTTCACCTCAGAAATAGAATCATCTACTCTGGTGGTTCTTTCTTTAATTTCTTAATTTTGGGCAACATATCTGATATAGTAAATTGCACAGTGTTAGCTCATGATTCATGGGGAAGTATATTATATAGTTCTCTAAGTAACATGATTGATACCATGAGCCTGTTCATTTATATACTCATGAAGTAGACTTTATGCTTTCACTTAGCTAGTTGTTCATTCTATTAACTTGTTTATTTGATCAAAATTATAAAATCACTCTAAAAGTTAATACCATAGAATGGTAGTTTGGAATGAGGAAGAATCCTATTATTTAAGAGGCTCTCGTGGAGATATAATTGATATGCCATAAACTACACTCATTTATATTGTGAAATTTCATAACTTTTGGCATATTATACACCCGTGAAATAATCACCAAATCAGGATAATGAATATATCCACTGTTTCTATAAATTTCCTTATGTTCATCTCCATTCTTCCACTCTCCATCCCTGGGCAAGTGTTGATATGCTTTCTGACACTATACATCAATTTCTAGAATTTTATGTAAGCAGAATCATAAAGCATGTGATATTTTGGATGAAGAGATATGAATTATTTCACTCAGGACAATTATTTTGAGATATATAGTATATATAAATTAATAATTCACTCATTTTTATTGTTTAGGTGAAAGATGCAGACAAGCCCAGAGATAGGAGTGAGCTGATAAAATAAGATGAGAAAGGTGACACCAGTGGTGGGGTAGAGGTCAGGAAGGACAGATCCAGTAGGGTCTTATAGATCATTATAAAGCATTTGTTCTTTATTTAGAACAAAATAGGAGGCTATTGAACATTTTACTTGATATCTTGAGAATAGATTTTAGGTCTTTCTGAATAATGAATGAATGAATGAAAGCCAATTAGTAAACAAATAAAAGAAGAATTCATTTTTGTGTGATTCTCAGTGTTTTTCATTTTGGGATATGCATCTTTCCATACCCCTAGCTACTCTTAGTCTTTTAGGGTCTTTTGTGCTCACTTTTCTCAATTCAGGTCAACCTGAAATGATGTCAACCTGAATTTTATAGGATATAGGTCAACCAATAATATGTAGTTTTTTAGACTTGGTATGACAACATTATATAAATTCTTTTTGCCAAGAAGATCCTACAAGATAAACATTCTTGCATAAAGTACATAGGCAATCTAAGCTCACAGTACTCTTAACAATTCAAAAGCATATGCTGTATGAGGTGGCTTTGAACTGCTATTGCTATGTGGATATGACACATGACACACGAATTTCTTGCCTTGGAGAAAAATGGGAAAGGACAAAGGAGAAGCCAGAGTATCATAAGTTGAAACTTGATTCCAAATGTGATGATATTTGGAAATGGAAACTTTGGGAGGTGGTTAGGCCATGAGGATGAGCCCTCCTGAGTGGGACCAGAGCCACTGTACAAAAAGGCTCCATAGAATTTCTGAGCCCTTTCATCATCAAAAACTGATTCTCATCAGAAACCATATCTGCTAGCTACTTGATCTTGGACTGCCTAGCTTCCAAAATTGTGAAAAATAAATTTCAATTGTTTATAAGCCACCCAATCTATGGCATTCCACTGCAGCAGCCCACGTGGACTAGGACACCAGAGCCAGAGTGCTGTGTCTCTGCAATACTCTGGGCCTAAAATATAACCTAGAGGTTGCTTAAATTGACATGACATTTAGGGAAACTGATAGATCCCAGTGGCTTAATGGGATACTTAAAGAAGAGTTTATAATTATATTAATTTTCCAGAATAATATTTTGATTTGTTTTAAAAAAAAGAGTGTTTTTTCAAGGATAAAGAGGATTCATGATTAGTCTATAGTTTCCCATCTAAAATAAAATACAGGTCCAAATTCTAATTATACTTAATAGCACTATCTCAAAATTTACATAAAATAGTCTAGTTTTAGATACATATTATTTTTTTCCTTTTCATTCTTACTCCCATAGTATCCTTATAAGTTAAAAAAAATAAAAAAAGAAGAACAATTCTTTCCTCACCTAGGTTTATCCTTTATTTATCAAATTCAAACTTGGAATTATGCTAGTGGCACATTTGAAAATCAGTTTGACTTGATTATTTAGTATGTATGATTAATCATCTTTAACTTTTTTTAGATCATGAATCCCTTAGTGAAATTGATGGCTTAGAGACCCTCTCTATGGAAAAGAACACATATGATCTATGATTTGAGGAGTACATAGACTTCCTGAAATCTATCCAGAAAACTCTATGTAGAAAGTAAAAATACTTAGTCATGGTCAATTTCATTGTCAGTATGTACTGATACAAATGAAATGAGGTTCATGTAAATGGATAGTGGTACTTTTTTTCCTACTTTGTTTACTTCGTATTTTTTACTTTGCTGTGATTATATTTTGGGGGGCAGCTTTTCCTTACTTAGTTTAACATATAACATATCCTCTTACTAATCTGGGTGGTACAGGGAGGTTTTATTGAAGTGCTCATTCCAATGGACCATTGTTTCAGTTTATCTGTGGGTGATTCCCATCCACGAAGTAGTCAAACTATAAAAGCAGTGATTTGGACTAAACTTACTTTTGTGAGATGATAATTTTTTTTTTCTTGTTGACAGAGTTGGGTTAAGGTTTCCTTTTATTTGGAACCAAAATCGAATCAGAGATTCATGGTTAAGATACTAGATTATTATAACTCTTGGTACATTTTTTTTAAAGCAGTGAATTAATATTCTTAATTAAATTTTCTTCTCTACCTAGTACCTGTAGGATTTTGGGGGGATGTTTTAGGATAAGAAATGAAGTATCTTATTTAGGAGTTCCCCATAGAGTTTGGAGACTACATTGGATCAAGGCCCAGCTTACTTGCTTGGATCTGCTCCTTTGAAGTAGGCATTGACTGTTTCTGTAAATGCTGCTGCAACAGGGAGGGTGTCTTGGGCTCCCATTGTTAAGGGACTGGGTCCCCTGGAAGAACCTGCATTAAATAAAAAACTTCCATTTATTACAGATAGAGAAGACATCTTAGTGTATTGGAACTAAAAGTTCATTAACATATTAATGGACAAAATATATTACTGAAAATAAGAAGAATGTAATGTGGTAATAATCACAATATTCTCAACACAGAGCTCAAGTATTTAAGAGGAAATATTTGGCTGTTCTACAGACAGACACACTTGAAACTAATTCCATTACAAATTTTACTACAGGAAAAAAATCCAAGCAGTAAAATAAAGTCAGGAGTTTTCAGTGTTTTGCATAAAGCTTAAGGCAGTATTTGCATGACAGTTTGTACAGTAGATAGGTACTAAAGAAAATTTTCAAGTTCCTATTTTATCATTCCACCTCTACAATTCCCCTTACTTAAAACTTTTTTCATTCCTTCATTTTGAAGGATAAAAAAAAATGTAGTCTGATGTTATATATTGTCTTTTCCTGGATTATTTCCATTTCAACAACTCTAATTATACTCAAATCAAGTAAGCTCAATTTCACATGCCAAAAACCATATATAATAAAAATTTATGTCTTAGCACAAACAAAAATGCATCAGTTCATATGCTTAAAAATAACAATAGTATATTCATGTTTATTGAAAATCTATGATGTGTTAGCAGATTATTTTATAAGAACTACTTCGTTCAAGTACCATGTTAACCCTTTGGAAAAGCATTATTATTTCCATTTTATAGAAGAGAAAACTGAAACTCAAATTGATAAGTGACTTGTCCAAGCTAGCAGCATATAGTTAAGGGGACACTAAAATTCACACTTTATTTGCTGCCCTAAAATCTCATCTTTTTCCTAGTACACCATATATTTACTTAAACATTTTCTTGAATAGTATTGATTTAACTTATTTCCAAAAGCAGCAAAGTTGAGGATTATTGTCTATGTTATTGTCTAATTTCTAAACAAGATAGTAGACATTAAAGTTTTACTAATTACAAAGTATTTAACTAACCATAGGCTCACTGCTTCTTTCTACCATAGCACATTGAGTATTCCCAGCCGGATCACAGATTACATGTTATGCTTTCAAAAAATTTTACCTTCAGTAACTTCTGTTCTTTTTTTCCAGATATGAAAAAATCTATCCTTTATGTATCTTCCTTCTTGATAAAGTTTTCCCTAAAAATTCCAGTTTGTGCTGGTCTCTTCTTTTTCTATCTTCTCTTGACTTTGAGTATCTTGAACTTGATAACTGAGCATTAATTTAACAAGCTTACATTTACTACCTATTATATATCATGGGCTATGATACTGGGGATTGAAAGCTAAAAATAATTATTTTCCTCAAGTAGTTACTCATCATTATTATCACATTTCTAATACTACTTCCATCACCATTATTTGTTATATACTTTGTAAGTGAGGGAACTAGGTTCTGAGTTCATACAACTTGTTCAAACTTGATAGCAAAATATTTATGATTGGTACTCAGGTGTGTATAAGTGTGAAGTTTAGGTTTTGAGATCGATATTTTTTAACCTCCTTAGTAGTCAACTATAGTACTATTTGAGAACAAGGAAACACGTATAGTACTGTTGGATGAATCTTATGATGGAGTATGCAGGCTTAAATCTTTGCTGTCCACAAGACTAAACATTTATGAAGATGGAAATCTGACGTGAACTTCTTTTATGGGACTTTCCTAAATCATGGTCTTCTATGATATTCGTGTGAATAAAATAGTGAAATTTGGATAATAATCTTGCAAGTAAGTTGACAGGTGAATCACAATATTCAATAAAGATTAATCAGTGGTTCTATGTTACTTGGGAAGGAAAAATCTAATGAGTTATTCCTGAGATTTATCCTAGTCTGGTGTTATAGCGCCTTGGATGAAACTAAAGAAGAAGCTCAGAAATGTAACACTGCTGTGGCTAAGAGTATGGGATTTGGCATCAGATCTACTTGGGAATTGAGTCTTACATCACATTTTACTCCAAATGGTCATTGGCAGGGATACTATAATAATATCCATTTTGTAGGCTTTTGAGGATAAAGTGAAGTACAGCATTTAGCATTCTTGATTTATTAGCCCACCAATAATGATAACTTATTTTTGCGATTATTTTATTTATTAATGCATACAAGAGCGGGGGTGTAGGCAGAGGTGTGGAGTGGGGGAAATGATTCACCAGAGACAGAGTATGGACCAGAACAGGCAGATTGAGTGAAATACACTTTTGAGAAGATCAGCAGGTGAGACAGGAGGGGTCTACTGTGCCATGTGGGTCAGCTCCCTGGTTGGGGATCAAATTCCTGCTGCAGTGGCTATGGATAGAGACTTCATAATGCTGAGATTTAACCCCTTGCACCACTAGGGAGGCCCACTATTTTTGTGATTATATCACCACTTAAGATAATACAGTGTCTATCTTAAAAAACTGACAAACTCATAGAAAGTTCTCAAAATGACCTCAAACTTGAATTACTAGCTGGAACTGCTTAAAAATTATCAGCAAAAACAATGATCTTATATCCCAAGGTTGAACATACATCAAACAGTTGTGGTTATGTGAAAAAATATTGGTGCGAGGAGTTGGTTATTAGATCATCAGATTTTTATTGTTGGTTTCCAAACATTTTGTCCATTGGAATATAATAGTGCATGAATAACAGATGACACTAGAAATGATGGTTTTACTGTATTTTGTTTGTTTCCTTTGTATCAAAATTCACCAGGGAGATTTCAGAATACTTATCTATGAGATAAAGACCAAAGGCTTCAGCATAGTGCTCTAGTAGGCCATCAGTGGTGCTGCAGTTTGAGTGCTCACATGCCCTCCAGATTCAAAGGTTGAAAAGGTAATTCCTAAGATGACAATATTGGGAAGGTAGGTTTTGGAAAACACTTAGGTCCTGAAACTGGAACAATCATGAGTGCGATTTGTGTCCTTATACAAGACAAGTCAGAGAGCTTCCCACACTTCCATCACATCGAGGACACAGAGAGAGGCTGCAATTTGGAAGAGATTTTTTACCAGAACTCAACCCATGTTGCTACCCTAATTTTTAACTTCCAGCATCCAGAAGTGTATGAAATAGTTTTGTTCCTGACTGAATTTTGTTCCTGAGGAATTTTGTTAAGCAGCCAGAACAGACTAAGATACGCAAACTGACTCAGATTATCCTTCATGATTTAGCTCCTCTCACCACCTTCAACAACTCTGGGCACTAAAGCCCTTAATGCAGATTTAATCAGTAATTTTAGGGAAGGCAAAACATCAAAACTTTACAAAGAACACTTTTACTTTAAAAGATACAGAATTTACAGTCATATTTCATTTGTATTGTTTTACGTTGTGGATAATATGACATTTCTTTATTTCAGTTTTTTATTTATTACATACATTTCTATCTGGCTTATATGTGATTTTCAATAACTATATATTATTCTACAAATAATATTTTACAAATATTATTCTCTAAATCTTGGGCCATTTTTAGGCAGCAGTTATTCCAAATCAATCTTTGTATAAAATGGTCTTCCTTTCCGTTTAAATAATATTTAAGATACAGTTTTATAACTGTATAACTGGGATGACTAAGTCAAAAGGCATATCCATTTTTGATTTCTTAGCCTGCCAGGTGATTTTAAATAAAGATGACACACAATGAAAATGCTATTAGTCATGAATGCCTACATCTATATTGTATCTTCTAGAACCTGTGTAACACAGCTGTTGAAAAACTGAATTAAAAACAAGAATATTTAAAATAGTGAGAAAATCACTATTGTTTTCAATGCCTGAAATATCACCACAGAGACTCAGGGGACTAGGGCTCTTTGTCATGAATCTGTAAGTTAATAGGTTGGTAATCTTGGGTAAATTAATTAACTTAGGTTTTTCAACCATAACATGAAGGCAATAGGTCACATAATGTCTATGTCTTAGAAGTCTGTAATTTTAAGTTATTGACACTCATTTAAAAATTGATTTGAACAATAAGAGCAACTATCTGAAAAATAAGCTGCTCTGAAAACAATCTCCCTTCACTGGAGGTTTGGGTGGGTGTGTCATACATTAACTGAGTCTCCATTATGTATAAGATAACAATTGGGACTTGACAGAAACTTGCAGGAAATAAGACATAGACACAGCGAAAACCTAATTAACAAAAACATCTACAAACTAGTGAAAGCTACAGTTCAAGCGAGAGCACTGTGAGAATGACTACTCCAGCCCCTGGCAATCAGTGATCAATTTACTGGCTCATCCATGGTGTTGTCTTTGATGAAATCATACAGGATGTAGCCTTGTAAGATTGATTCCTTTCAGTTAGTAATATGCATGTAAGCCCACCTCCCCCCAATGTCTTGTATGGCTTAGTGGCTCTCAAAGTGTTTTTATTCATAGTTTGAAGTTGCACTCAAACTAAATGAGGAGGTTTGAGAAGGAACCAAGAAGTTTCTGTACTAAGATGTATTTGTTTCTTATTTCTTGTATATCTCTGATTATCTGAAATGACATCTGAGTCTCTAGTACTGACTAAGCCCAGGAGTTACCTCTTATTTTTCTATCAGATTCACTGATGGTATATTTTCTTCCTTTTATGGCAATAATGGCCCCAGACACAGTTGTTTTTCAATGTGTCCCTCACTCAAAAAAAAAAAAGGGAATATAATTCTATAACTTTAAAGTATATAATGGTTGGACAGCCTTTGCTATGTTCAAATTTGAAGCCCTTTACTGTCCCAGCAAAGGAAAAATTTGGGTCCCACTTAAACAACTATAGAATAGATTACAGAAAACACAGTTATCAGATGGGCAACTAATAATAATATAATGCCCTAAGCCTGGAAAAGTAGGTTGTAATGTCTAGACAATTGCAAAATCTATCATATAAGTTGAATACTTCTTAGAGTTGGAAAAGGGAACAAGAGCCAATGATTAATTGAATAGAAAAGTTAAAGACTATTCATTTATTCTTTCATTCAGGAATTCACAAGTACTCTGAGACTTT